TCCATTTGAAGTTGTTCTGGTAAGTAGTACATTTAACTGAAAGGTCACTAAGAAAAAGAAAACGTTTTGACTAAAAAGTCCTGCACTGTAACTTACTCTAAAAGAGTAAGAAAATCCTATAGGTTATCTAAAGAAGAGTTCTTCTCCTTTAAGTTTTGTATTAACCCAAATCACATTTCTAAGATGACTGGAACTCTGGGAGCCCTGGCTTCAAGCCATGCGTTATCTCCACTAAGCTATTATTTTCCATACAAAAAAGAAAATGGCAGAGATGTGCTTATTTGGGATGCTCAGAGAAAAACCAAAATCTACCAGTCAAAAGATCAAAATTGGTATTTTTTACTGGCAACTCAAAACTGGTCCTTAAAGTTGTGGTGAGTGAACTACCAGCAGCTCTAGAGAACTTCTCTTCGTAAGGGCCGTGAAGCAAGAGAGTGAGTACATCATCTTCAAGGCACCCGTTGGTGCCTCCAATTTACTTGCCAAACAACAAGGTGTGAGGTTCTGGCACGCTGAGAGCAAAAACTTGCAACACTCCTGCTGGAGCTTCCAAGTGGCCTGTCCGATTTCATCCAGCCCTCTTAAAAAAGGAAAAAAGCCCAGAACAAAGTAAATCTCTACTGAATGCTGTGAATCATCCTATTCAAAACAAAGAAGAGTCAGACTGACAAACTGTAACAATATAGAGAACTTTTATTTTTTTTTATTTTTTATCTTCTTTTTTTCTTCTTTTGCTGTGTAAAATATCATCATTATGCTCACAGCTCTGTACCAAAGTGAGAAAAGAAACCCATGGTCAATCTGTGCACGTGTTCTACACAGCTTAAACTATTACATACACAATCATGTGGCTTTATTCCACTTCCATTCTCCAAGGAGACTGTTCAACTATTACAGCAAAATGAAATTTGAGAAGGTGCCAGGTGTTGATAACAGAATATATACCTACACAGTTCACTCCTTCACAACTATTACAAACAGCAGCTGAAACCTTTTCCTTATCCTCCCTCACATACTCTGCAACTCTGGACAACTCAGACTGCTTGCATGATAGTATCCTACAAGCCTGAAAACCAAGATTCATCTGTACCCCGTTTTAATTCAAAAGAAGGGGAAAACATTTTCTCAACAACACATTTTGTTTCTGGGAACCTCCAGTTTATTGTGAGTTTTCAGTTATCATTTACCCATGTTGTACAGTTTGAAATGTGCACTAAGAACTGCACTACTTCAAACATACTGCACAGCCAAACTCCTGCTATTTTGCAGAAGGCGGCTCATGTGCCAGTATGTTAAAGTCTGTAATCCACATGTAAGTGACACAAGGCAAGCAGAAGCTGGGATATTTAATGCATCTTCATACCAACGGATGCAGCAGTTTTCCTTTTGTCCCCTTCCACATACAGAAACAGCAGCAATAGGCCACAGAGTGTTTTGCACTGCCAATTAGCTGTAAATTTTCCCCTATCATTTGAAGGATAAAGGAGAAACAACTATTGACCAATCCTACCATTGTCTTATTCAATACATGAGTCTGTTGGGCTGGGGAAGGTTAAGCTTTGCAGAACATGTGAACTTCCAAATGATCATTTTATGCTACTCACACCCTCCTTTTGGAGCTCAGGCAAGGCTTGGTATGCTATGACACAAGTTCTCAAGCTTTTGAAGAGAATGATATAACTGGTTTCAGTAGTGCCTGGCCCAATCTTTGTATCATAAAATCATGCAATGCCTCTGAGCAATTTCTGTCTGCTGGGGAGGCTCACAGCTTAACAGACACAATGTCAATCCTGCTAAGAGGAAAATGGTGCCTTCCCCCCAAGAAGGGTCTGCCTTATGGAGTCAGCCATATAGCAAGTCCAGAGCTCCTTATTTAACATTTGACTAATAAGAGAAACACAGCTAACCACAAAATAAACCTTCACTCTACTCACTCTTCCACTCACAACTTTTTACTTGCATAAAAAACAAACTGAAAACAAAAATAGTCCTGAAACAGGCTTCAGAGGTGCAGCACTGCTTTTCACACAGAACTCTTCAACCAGAGGTATATCAGCAGTCAAAACCCTAAGTTCCAAGACTGGAGAGAATGCCAGTAATGGCTACCAAGCCAGTATATTAGTTTGGCATCTCTCTTCTGCAACTGCCTCCAGAAGAAGTGAATGGCCGATAAAAAAAGCTGCACTGAATTCCAGCTGAACAAATAGGAAACCTCCCCACAGAACTCCAGAGAAGGCTGTGGATTTCCACAGCTGTACAACTTCACTGCAAATGATATCCTCAGGAGAAAGCAGCACAGCATTTTCCTCTGGCTCCCCTGGGCCATTTTAAAAATTGTTCATAATTCAGGAAACAAAATTCTATAAACACTCATGCAGCTCTGCTATTTTCCTGCCTCTTACCCACTTTAAGATTCTTACCATATATCTGAAATGACCTACAAAGCAGCAAAAGGCATCACTGCTAAAGCTGGATTTCGTAAGTCCAGACTTTTCAGAAGGACTGTTTTCAAGGCAGATAAAGAAGTATCATAAACTACATGAAAAGGAAGTCTGCTTCTACCAATTAGAAAAGAGAAACCCAACAAGCAATCAGGAATGCAAATACAGTGTAGTAACTGTTCACTGCAACACCTAGTGAGAAAGATCTTCACATGTTCCTCAAAACAGATGAAAGAACGTGAAGAATCACAAGGAAGAAGTAACAAAACCTACTCTCACATACTAGTTTTCAGAATGCTTGTCCTCAGGACACACACCTCCACACCTTCACTTCAAGCACGGTCCGTGAAGGACAGCTTCAGACGTTCACATTGATTTATGCCACGCTTTTACATGCTCCTTTAAGTGAGGTTCAAAAAAACTCCCCAAACTACTCTTGAGTATCAGTAATTTTGAAAATGGTTTAAGTCTTATGCAGTCTTCTGCTCTTAGGTCATGGAAAAAAAAAACAAATACTCTCAAGACTTTAGAGCAATGAAGCCTGCATCAGAAAACACTGACACTGTTCAGATTTCCCCGAACCTGATTCTCTCTTGAACTGCTTCATCCACACACCACAGAAAGAAAAATAATAAAAATAAACCCAAAGCACAAATAAAACACACCCCAAAACCCAAAACCAAACCACCCTCGAAACAGCCTGGGGTCTGACCCACATTATCTGGGATTTTGCCTGGCCACAAACAGCTAATAAAAACCCCAAACATATCACTACAAAAGCATTGGGACCTCAGAGACTCCTATGTCTTTGAAGTAGGATGCTCCTGCACCTCATTCCTATCTAATTCTTGTCTCTCAGAAAAAAAAATCATCAATGTCAAGCAATTAAAGAGAAATGACACTCCACTATCCACTACAAAGAAAAAAATAGTGTGCTTCAGAGAAGGCCCTGAAGTTCCAGTGGAACGTGCATGGGCTTTCCTCAATCAGTTTCTTGGCCTAAAAAGGCTTCTTCATAGGCAAAGAATGAGGCTATAAAACTTACACGGTCTGTTTTAGCATACCAAGCATCAAAGTAGTGGTCAAAAAGTTGCCTAGTAAAAATAGTAAGTTTAATTTGTTTGAAACGCATCATTTGTGAGCAGCTCAGTTTTGACACTGGGATGTTTTTACCTTCTGTTACAGTTTAATGCAACCTTGCTTCTTTTTTATCCTGAGCAGCAAGTTAGGCAAAAGCAGAGACAAAGATTATTGCTACATTTAGCCTCATTGTTTAAAAGAGCCCTCTGCTAAATTAGTGTCGTTAGGAGAGAGAGGGTTGCAAATGCAAGAAGTACATTTCACTGAACTAACTGGGTAAAGTTTTCCATCCCAAGGCATGCCTGCAGAGGAATCCTAACAAGTAGAAAGTCTTCACCTCTGCACTGGCTTCTCCGTATTAGTAGAAACAAGACTTTACCATGTGGTATGCATTTGTTATCCTCAGCTTCTGCTTGAGAACTGTACTTTTAAATCCTTTAAAATCCTGTTCCACTCTTTCCAGTTGAGGTTTTGTGAACCTGATATGGCCCAAGCCAATTAAGCCAGTTCACAACAGAAACAAAACACAACCTAAGTGGATGCATTTAGACAGGCAGTGCCTTTGCATTTCTCTGAAGTTTGCTATGCCATGAAGAAATGGAACTGCAAAGTTCAGTCACTAAGATATCAAATAAAATCAGGAATCTAATTATGGTGTTGTATCAAGGTAGCAGTGGTTATTCTGGTATTTAACTAAAACAAAAGCTGACATCGCTTACTTCTTTCCTGTACATAAGGACCTATATTTAAAAAGACTAAGACTGCAAACCACATGAGCAGAGCCACCGTTCTGGCTGTTTTCCTGCTACTGGCATACCTCTCCAGAAATAAAGTGTTTTCCTCCAAATAAACAAAAGGAGGTACAGTATTTTGGGCAGTTTGTCACTGTATATATTATGCCAGTTATAGCAATTTTTACACAAGGAATAAAAAATAAGTTACAATTAACATTAAAAAAAATACTTATTCCAGTTCTCCATAAAATACCTTTTTTATGAAGTAAAAATGTACACTGGGTATTCAAGTTACACTGTTACAATCTGTCATACTCTGGTTTGCAGAGTTTTTGTTAAAATAACGTAAAAAAATTGGATACAACATAAAACCAGACATGTTTGAGACACATAACAGGCTTCAAGCTGATTTTGCAAACATGAGAACCTATTGTAATCTAAGTTCTCAACACCCCTCTGGTCTTCCCAAGGACACTCAGACTATGCTGCTTAAAAAAAACCAAACACAAAAGCAAACACAAAAACAAAAAGGAAAAACAAACAACAGAAACCCAAAGCAGACAAGAGGAGGGAATATTCTTATCTGTCAGTGAATTAAAAACTTGCAAGAATCTTCCATTTGGGCCAAGTCTTAATCGACCAGCCTTATTTCTACAGAGTGCAATATGACCTGCAGCCTCCATAACAAGGCATTTCAGCCCCACTCCATTTTTGCATTCCAAACGGGAAAAGAAAGAGGAAAGACTGGAGTAAGAAATGGATGTTTTTTGGAATAATTCTGGCATATAAAATTACTTCCCAATGTGGGAGGTGAACAACTTCACGAGTCAACCCTGCTGTCATCCTCAGCATGTCTTTCAATGTGTCCTACAGCATCCTAGGAAAGAACCAGAAGTCAGTTAAAAGTAGTAACCATCAAAAAAAGCTTTGCAAAAGATTCTTGAAGTGTCAGGGAAAGTTACATGCTGGATGATACATTTTTTGGCTTAAAGCTTCTAAAAAATTCTTTTGTCTGAAAAAAAAAAAGTAAAATATCGGTGCCAAGCTAATAAATTACATCTATAAAGTATCTCACATACCACATGATTTTAGGCAAATAAAAACCATCTTCTTTTCTGACTATAAAAGCGTATCAAATAAACACATCATATCCAAAGCCAGTGCTTAAAGAGAAATTAAGGACTCCACTCTGTTTCTGAGTTCTCCAAACCCTCCTTCCACTGCATGTATTGAAACACATTAAGAGGAAGGTAGTTTATATTGCCAAGGACTAAAATGAGGATTTTGCCTATCAGACTATAGGTAACAACCTTTCTTCCACCCAATCCTTCCACATCACTTCATCCAGCTCTTAAGTCTTCATTTTTCTCCCATCTGTGCCAGCATTTACTCAGAAATTTAGGCACTACTTAAAGATCAGTAGCAAAACCAATCCCATGCCAATAAACAAACAGCATCAGTATCCACAACAATGAAAGGGGGTAGTGATGGATAAAAACTAAGAGAATAAAAAAACTGTTTCAAGACTAATGTTTATTCAACTTAAAAATAAAATCTTCCTGCAAGAACTTAATTTAAACATACATTTATCAGAATTTCTTTTAATATTTCAGAATTTTACCCCTTCCATATACTATTTTATGATCAAGCTGTTTTATATTAACCATACCTCAAGTTACTGTACTTAGTTGCACTTATCTGTCACAGGTTGAATTGAACCCTATTCATCTGTGTGACTCTAGCTATATGTAGTTAAGCCTATCAAGACTAGAAAAACTTAACTCTTTTTAAGAGAAATAGGATCAAGTCCCATGGCTGTGGTGATGTAAAGTACTTTGTGCTGCCAAATACAACCACGGTAATTCAACCACATACCTGCTTGGAACTTTTCTTGGAAGTAAAGAAAGCATCACAGTTCTTCCAACGACATTTTAGGGTCTGAAAATTTGGGTTGGTGTGGTCAGTTAGCAAGTGTTGTTTCAGATGGTCCACAACTCCAAAGATCAGTGAGCATCCATGCCACTGGTAGAAAAAAAACACAACAGAATAAGCCAGGGAAAAAAAAAATTAGCTAATTATTTTCTTCTTGCTGCCTCGCAATATTCTACCAAAACTGTTCACACACATGCCACCTCTTTTTTAGTCTTCTTATTTCATTTCCATTCTCTACTTCCATGAATAGTCTCTATTGCTTTAATTGCACCTTTACAGAGATTCTTCCTGCCTCTAGCCAAGCCCAGATCATCAGCAAGAACGGCAGGAGGAACAAAGGAACTAAACTTTTACAAGATTTAAGCTTACCTGAGACAGAGACATTGGGAATTTAATTAAACTTATTTAACAGAGTAAATCAGCTTTTCTATGTCATTCAGCTGAAGTTTTTGGTTTTAAACAGTTACAGGTCACTATCTTTAAAGTTTCCAGAAAGAAAAATAATTTAAGATGCTACTATCAGTCTGCCCCAAAGCACAAACCTATACTAAAGATCATGAAAAGTGGAACTAGAGATACATACTTATATTTTAAAAGTATATATGCATTTAAAAATATTACTGAGCTATAATAAAGGTCAAGCTTTGCAGGACCGAGTAGTGACCTTCCCCAGAAAATTAGTCTAAAAACTGTAACAAAAGAAGGCTAAAAACATATCGCTTATTACCCAACAACGATAATTCTGCATCAGATTAAGCCTCACAGCTCTGACACTGCCATCATAGCATCCAGTGTAGATCTGTAAAAGAAACATCTATGGATAAGGAAGCTGGGAATAATAGGGAAAAAAGTCAAATTTGGAAGGAGGCTTCAGTGTAGAGTACATGAGGTAAACAACAATAAAATCTCAACATGCAAGGCTTCTAAATTTAAAAATGGATCTAATCTAACGGAGATTTGCAGTCATTGTTTACAAAAACTTACTAATGAATAAGAAATATTTCCATAACTTCTGTTGTTTATAGTGTCATAACAGTTCAGAAAAACTTCAAAATACAATGTTACTAATAAACGTATTTAATGACTATTTTAAGCAAGTTATTTATCCAGAAGTGCTTCTGAAACCTATCTTGCAGGGCAGATGCATGAAGAAACCTGTGCACCCAAACCAGTCTCATACCTTTGTTTAGGTTCTACCAAAGGTTTGACTGTGGGGGAAGTTCTTCTCTAACATGTATGTGACTCTCTTGAGCAAAAGTCAAACAGGACTGATGCTTGAGAAGAGGGAATATTTTACTGTTTCTGAACTCTTCACTGCAATCATCACTATAAACAGAATTATTGTTTTAAGACTACATCAAGCTAGAAGTAATTTTTCCCCAAGACAATTATATTACATAGTTACAGAGCTGTAACAGCAAACTGATTTTTGCCTGACATTTTTAAGTTCTTCTTAGTGAGACAGCAGATTGATTTCATTATCTGAAAAAATTACACTGTCCTGTATATGCATGTGAAAATTACAACCTCCTATTTGAGACCAGTGAAAAGAAGGAAGTTACCATGCTCTTATGGATGGTCATACACATAATCATATCTGTGTGGCCTCCATAGACTTGCAAGCGGTCGTGTGACTTGAAAAAAAAACAGAAACATACTTTAATCACTTGACAGTTAAGCATTTTCAGAGACATGAAAATGACAGTGCTTCTGAGAGCAGTTTTCTGGGTAGCAAGTAAACTCCTCTGGTGGATTCCAAAGTTTCCGGCCACCACGAAAGTTCGCTTTTGCTTACATTGCTTCAACTCTTTTTGTCCAACTAAGCACTTGATTTTCCAGCAGACAAAACTAACATTTCCCCACTGTTCTGATTTGTCATTGTCTGAAGATAACCCAGGTTCCAAAAATAATGGTTTAGGTTATAATCTTTAAAATCTATGTATTTTGGCTGGTGAGACAATTATATACTCTTAGTAACAGGAAAGAGAGGGATGGGCCCGAGATCAGCAAGCATAAAGATTAAACCTATGTGACTTCAAAATAATTAATGCATATTAGGTATATGTCATCGTAAGCATCTATTTTCTTACCTGCAGTTCATAAACACGAACGAATTTATCCAGACATGCTGTCACCATCACTTTCCCAAGAATGTTGACAACCGTTACTGCATGGTTATGGCCTTTATAGATCCGTACTAGCTCTCCAGTCTGCATCAAGGAAAAGCAAAAAGCAAATAGGTGTTTATTGCTTTGAGGGTTTTTGTTTGGGTTGGTTTGTGGTTTGTTGTTGGATTTTTTAACAATTAAAAACATTTTAACCTAGCCTACATAGAGTAGCTAGCTTCAGTGTTCACTACTCAAAAAATGGAAACACTATTAGACTTTCATTTGCTGTGACAGTACTTTCGGATTATGATCAAATATGACTTAACCTTTTCTTTGCCCATGTTAACTCGGAGCCATTCCAGTACCATAGAAATGCATGCCACTATGAAAACTATCTACTTTTCTTTCCATCATTAGCCACATGTTCCCACCTACCCTGCAACTAGTACTGTTCTAGCGGTGATACTAACAGTATTTAGCCACAAGGATCAGTGAGCAAATTTAGCTAAATACATAGAAATACACTTTTTTATTATTATTTTTCAATTAAAATTTACCTCTGATAAGTTTCTTAATCTAACTTATTGTATAGCTACATGAATGCTTCTGCTAGCACAGGGGAAAGATAGTGCAATTGAGGAAGAGAGAGCAGGTGAGCTACAAAGCATTCAGGATAGTATAACAGCTTTTGAAACAACTAGTTTGGAACACTGTGCTCAAGTTTTTTCCTGTAATAACAAAACTCTTCCCCCACCAGGATATCTCACATGTCTTTGCTCTGAAACCTTCCTACATTATCAGCATGTCTGTATGTCGTGATATTTGCAAGACAAATATCCCCAGATAAAAAAGCACTGCATATCGTACTGTAAGACTCAGCATGTTTATGTATCCTTTTCATGCCTCTTTAGTTAGCTATAATGCAGTCACATTAACAAAATCTTATGTCTTTACTTTTCTGGAAGCTCCACCAGTCAGTCAAAAATTCTGGAAACACTGACTGCATAGCACAGGAATTCACTGCCTTAACAGAAAGTCATTCCAGCTTTATAGGAGATACTTACATGAATATTGTGGGCATGTACCGACTGATCACTGGAACCACTGAATACCAGATCATTCACAACCTTACAAAAAAAATATTATTATTTCTGTAACAGACACAGAAATGGGCAAGTAAAGCATTAAGATGCTGTTCAGTTTAAAGTTGCACTGCAGTATTTCCTAAATTTGACAAACTTAAAATCAGTGGCGAATATGGAAACAGAACAAAGCACACACTGAGTTCCTTATATAAGAGCTCGAAAATGTACTGTAGTATCCTAATGATGATTTGTGGCATTTCACAATTGACAGCAGAAGTTGTTAAATTTGCAGCCTACCAGGCTAACTCATCCTTCTTATAGGCTAGTCTTAGTGCCAGCACAACAGCAGATCAGCGACCAAATAAACTGAATGCAGAATGCTGCTTTGCGCATGCACAGTAAAGCCCATTGTTTCCTAGTAATTTTGGATGTGCTGTGTGCTTATACACTGGTCACATAAGAAAGTGCTCCTGGAAAGTACTAATCCAGAAAAGAAGTTTAATAGACCCATCATGGATCAAAAAGGGACCACAGTCTGCTGCCATGTGAGCAGGACTAGGATAATTCACAGGGTAAAAAGGTTGTGCCACTGCACTGTAATATCTCTACAATTTATGGAAGTCATCCCCTATCTGTGACATGATAGCAGTCACAGCAAAGCAGTCAGGAAAGCATTTCAGTTCCAGCTTATAATCTCAGGAGCCAGAAACCTGTATATAACTGTTAGTGCTTCTTCTATTAAAAGAGAATACTTCTCTAGAGTTACATTTTTTCCAGCTTCCTCTGATGTTTGCCTTAGGGTACCTGAAAACTAGCTTCACCTTTTCCACAACTTTCCTTCTACTGCCAAATTCACCTTCAGGATTCCCTGAATCTTTTAACAACTTGAAATAAACATGCTTCCTACAGACACAGCCCCAACAGTTTTGTAGGAAATGTGAGATAGGCAGGGAGCCAGAGACAATTTCTCTTCCAATTTACTTAGCTTTTACCATTAAAATCCTTTATTTCCTACCACAATCTGCTCACTATTAGATGAGGAACTAAAAAAACCAAACATAACATTTTAAGCTGTCATTATCAAAAATGTATTTTCAGAGACACTTACCTTCATACAGAGGATAGTCTTGCTGTGACCTTCCAGGGTTCTGAGAAGCAGCCCGTTCCGCGCATCTCGCACACTGATGGTGCAGTCATAGGAGCCCACCACCAACAACTTGCGTGCTCCTTCCTGAGCTGTGGCTAGGCAGCTCACTGCTCTAGGGCCATGGCATTCAAAGGTATCAACCTGCTTGTTGTTCTGTTGGGTGAGGAAAAGATTGTTATTTAAGAATTAAAACTTTTCTATGGCATTGACTAGACCACCGAGTTCTTTCTGTGTTGTACTTGTTATAGCATCTGACTTCAGTTTAGTAACACACCATTTCAGCAGCAGAAGAGTTGCAACTGAACAACTAACTTTCCAAATCAAGGAAATAACTTTGATGGTCAAGAAAGGAGGATTCGCAAATAATCTGTGTCAGAAAACTGTCATGATACATGACTGGTAGGCCAGGTGGCACCTTAAGGGATAACATGACAACAGTACAGCAGTTAAGAGAAAGGTACCTGAAGGGGAGATGGGACAGCTTTGTGCACTGACAAAATAAAGGACCAAAAGGGGTCAACAGTGACCATTTATACCAAAATAGTTTAATCAAATACATTTGCTACTCAAGAAAAAGAACAGAAAGAAACACAGAGTGAAGAGAAACAGCACTGCAAGAGGCTTTTAACTGCCAATATTTAAAGATACTAACCTTTATGCTGAAAGTAACCACATTGCCATTTGCAAGGCCTGCAAAAAGGATCCGCCATCTACTGTGTAAACAGAGCACTCGATCTTCCAACTTAAACTGTTCCATGCACTTCTTGGTCTGACAATAAAAAGAAGTATTTAAAGCTATTAACTGAAAACAATTCGGGGAAAAAAGCCTGAAGTGAATGATAATTTTCACCTACAGCTCATACGGGTTTTAAAGGTTTTTTTCATTTATATTTGCAGAGAAACACTTAAATAAAAATGCACATTACACTGCATGTTAACCAACACAGAGTTTGACTACCTTGATATTGTAACAGTTGATAGTGTGGTCGCTTGAGCCAGTGTAGAGTGCAGCATTCTTTCCATTTGTCTGAGTGACTAGGAGGCAGTTCACTTTTGAAGTATGTCCTTCAAAGATGGCCACACACTTCCTGCTCTGAAAAGGCAAGCAGAGGGTCTATCAACATAAAAGCCCATTATACCTCTCAGGATCTGCGCCTGACTGAGTGGGGTAGGACAGCTAACAAAAGCAGGACACGTGCAGCAATCTATCTCCCCTTACTCCTCTCACAGGGAGAGGGGGTTGGGGAGGGGGAGAAGTTTGAAGAATAGCATAACAAAATTAGGTACGTGAAAAAGCAGCTGCTTCCTTAACTACATAGTAAGGCTTTACAAAAACAGAACTGCAACCTTGTGACTGCAATCAACATAACATCCACCATTCAAAACATTCACCACACCAAAACATTCCCACCACCTTACTTACAACCAGATTGTAGGCACAAACAGTTTTGTCTGCTGAGCAAGTATACAACAAATTCCCAAAAATCTGAATAGCATTCACTGCAGCCAGGTGTCCCTCAAAGCTTCCCTCTGTGGGCTCTTCATCTTCACCTGGCTCTGAAGACACTTCTGTAGGGCAGACACACATGTACTCTGATTATGGGAACACATGCAAACACACTGCTGCTGTTTGTATTAACAAACAGTAGAACTATTGCATGGGCTTAGCACCTGTGGGTTTCTGGTGGAGCCTGTAAGTGGCAAAAGGCAATATAAAATGCCAGAAGGACCATTTACATGATGTTAAATGCAGAAAGCTCTTTAAAAATAGCAAAAGGATTATATTATTATTTGTCCTACAGCTCTACAGAGATTGTGGAATAGAAGTGTTTGTGTGGGAGGACACAGGGCAATGCAGAGGAGTCAAGGCACAAAGCAATTCAATAAGACCTAGTGAGTATGCATCACTTCCCACTTCAGTTTTTAGCACTGTTTTTTATCTTCAGGACAAAATTTCCCACTGGAAGCAGTTTCACCAAGACTTAACTCAAAGTCTTGCAAGATACTATACACAAAGTATCACAAGAAAAGGTTAAAAGATATACCTGATGAGTTCTTTGATCCTTTTAGCGATCCTACGGAAGTCTGCATCTCAGACATACTGCAACACAGAAATAAAGAGCAGAGAGATCAGACTTTGCATGTTCATTTGCAGACAAAATTTTGGTGCAAATGACACCCCAGAATACAAGACTCTGCACTTAGTAGAAAACAGGCTCTAACAGATAAGCTCAAAACCAAACTTTCCAGGGAGGGCAGCCTTGTTCTTATATTAATTAGTAGGTAACAAAACATATTTATTTGTCGGACCAAAAAAGCAGACTCATTTTCCATTTTCGCTCATTTCACTACCAAATTAAGTTACTGATGTTGTCAGAGTTTCTGAATAGAAAGTTTTTAAAAAAAAAAACCTAAAGAAAAGAAGATGGGCCTCTTGTGACTATTGTATAATGCTTTTACTTTTGAGAGACCTGCGGTAATCTCACCTTTTCCCATCATCCCTATAATTTGTGCCAATCTCACTGGTAGAGGTCACTTCATCATAACCCGAGCAAGACACATGTAGGACTGCTTGATCCACAGAGCCACGTGACTGCATCTTTGAGGGACTGTCTGGTTTCTCATCTCCAGACTCTGATGAAACAACATCAACCACCTCATATTGGGGTGTTGGAAATTCCACTAGTTCCAAAGAAGCATCACTGTCATTCTCATCTTTGTTTCTTGCCGTGTGAGCAGTAACTCCATCCTCCTGTCTTGGAGGAGTGGATGTAGTAACTTTATCTCCTTTAGGAACCTTTCCACCCTTGACTTTCCGGACAGGCTTAGAGTCAATGATATCCTGCTCTGTATCACTGTTCTCTGGCACATGGGCTGCCCTCAGAGTTTTCTTCTTCCTTAACTTTCTCCGCCTCCTGCTCCCTTTTTCTGCTGAGACTACACCAGTTGCCATCTGTTGTTCGGATGGTTCTGCTGACAATTTGGGGGGTTTATCCACTGGCATTTCTAGAAGGGCCGAATGCTTTGGAAGAGAAGTGCTACACTGATCCAGTAAAAAGCTTTCAGTCACTGTATCATTTGCTTCTCTCTTGCTGAAATCAGACAGTGAATAAGAAGGGTTTTCAGGAAGTCCAGCTTCTCCGCTGTCCACAGTAGGCTTGTGTACATCTTGATTAGATTGTTGGAAACAAGCTGCCAGCTCTGATAGGGATATGGTTGCAGAGATAACTGGATACACTGAAGTTTTCTGGTTGGTCTCTTCTGAAGAAAACAGAAAAGTGTTATAGTCAATCTGTACAGCAATAAATATTTATGCAAAATTGTTTTCCCTGATTTTTTCTGTTTATTCTTAATTGTGCATGTTAAGTATGTATTTCTAGATGTTGAAAGCTACACATGCACATGCAGATCTGCTATTTCAGGCAGCTATCCAGGCTTTTAAAAAAACATACCTGGGGAATAAAACTGTGTATCCAGAAGCAGAGGAACAGGGCACATCATTCAAGTTGCTGGCTAACTATAGGACTTCTGACAAACAACCTTTAGTGAATCCTACGCAGTCAGCTTAAGATGCTACCACCCGTCACCGTGTGCTCCCTTACCAGCGGTTCACCACTGCTGTAGGTCCGATATTAACCAGTGCATGCTTAATACGCCTCAGCTGCTCCATGACACTTCTACTTAACTCATTGCATTAGTTATTTCTACCAATTTACTTGAACCTAACTCAAGGTAGATGAGTCATGCACAACCCACTCTGCAGTATCATACTTTCTATCCAGGAAATGGCAGCACTGTAGGACAGAGTAAGCTTTGCCTGTTTATCTATGGTGCACTAAATGACAGAGCAAACATGCTCTCCTTGTCATTCTAATTTGAAGCCAATACGAACAAACCAATCCAACCTCTCAACTGAGACAGACTAAGAGCACAGGCAGCATCTCACAGCTGTGTTTCCCACCCTAAAATTTCCCAGTTGCATTTGCAATAACTACAGTCCAGAACAGGATGTTTCAAGTTCACTGCATTTAGCAGGTGGAACCCCTCAACGTGAACAGGAAGCTGCCAGCCTTTGAAATACTTCGCTGCTTCTGTCTCTTAGAAACCAGAAAATCAAACCTACAGCAATGCTTAGGCAAAGCTGTTCGACCGTTACAGACATCACAGTACAGACTGGATGCTCTGGAATTATGCATCCAACTAGAGACAGCTTAAATGTGAACATCTCCCCCCACACCCTCCTCAGATGGAAAGTTCCAAGATAAAACTAGAATTTGCTGAAGGCGTAACGTATAACATATTTAAAATAAATCAATGGAAAGCTGTCTCACCCATTCTGTAACTGTCACACACAGCTGCAACCTGTTAGAAAATCCTTTATATAGAGGATTATATGTACATTATACATAGAGGTCCTACAACAAATTAATGGGATTCACCCCTGCACAAAAGGCTGCAGGTTTGAGAACCATCTTACGTTCTTCTGGGGAAGTAATGTTTTTTTATTTCCTTAAAACTAACTCTTCTAAAACAAAGGCAAGCCAAACATACCATCCTTTTGCTCCCCCTCTTCTGCTCGTGAAGCATATGGAGAGCTCTGGAGTACAGAATTCACATTTTCTTCTGAGCCTTTTGGAGACACAGGTTCTCGTTTAACTTGTACTGAGGAGTCAGCAGGAGCAGCGGGTGCAATGCCAGAAGACTGGAATGGTGATGGTACGGGAACATGAACAGTAGCTCCAAATGGAGCTACAGAAGACGACAAAGTGTCCAACAGGGGCAGGAAGGCGCCTGTAGGAACTAAGTCAGCTGCCACGTGAGATTTGCTATTTCTTCTTTCACTTGAGACACTGCAGGGAAGTTGCTCTGACAGCTCAGAAGGTTCATATGTTTCTAATAGCAAAAGGAGAGAGGGGAAAAAAATATAAACCAAAAGTGTTCGTATTTTACAATAAAATTTAGTGGTGCCAGAAGCTCATTTCTTGTGAACACACCACCAAGGAAGAGAAAAATTTGTGAAGACCACTAGATGGCACTACCAAAAATGACAGATCGCACAAAGACTTTAGTGGAAAGCCTTAGATTTCGTCGTATATTTTAAATAAGTGAACTCAAGTTAAATACAATTTTTACAAGACTGTGACTTTAAGGAATGCACAAGTTAGAATTCCACTGGTATAGTTTTGTGGTATCTCATACCTTGTAGCCCCTGCAAGACCTGGATTCGCTGGCTTCTCAGTGTACTCATTTCCATGGTTATCTGCAAAACAATTTTGGTTTAAAGGCAGTTTTTCAGGCTGCTAACTCAAAAGTTCAGATGGTCTCAAAAGCCCACTGTTACCTGTTGCTTTAACACAAGGAGCCGTTGAACTTCAACATACGCAGCCTGCAGGGCAGCCCTGGCCTGCAAGAGACTGCTGTCCACACTATGCAAGGACTTGCTTAACTCTTCTTCCCTCAGCGAAATAGCCAACAACTGGTCTACCTGAGAACGTTCTGAAAAAGAAACAAAATGCAGTGCATAACTGTATTTGACAATACATTAAAATACATTAGCTATGTTTTTTCAATAAATACTATCACCTCTGACTGTAGAAATCACATATATTAGGTTAAGTATCACTAGTCACACAAGAGACTGAAAAGGAATAACTGCACAGGAATAGCCACATATACATGAAAGAAGAGCAAAGTCCAGTATTCCTCTCTACAGATTCTCAACCTTGACTCTAATAACTATTTCCATCATAGTTTTGCCAGCACTGATTTAGTTTAGTTGAACAAAGTCATTCTCTTCCACAAGGATCTTTTTTTGAGGCACACATGTACAGGAAGTACAAATACATGCTTTCCATTAATGTCATTAAAAAGACAGAGGCAAACTTAAGCTAAACAAGATTTAAATTATTCAGTTAATGTAGAAGCCGAGGAAGGGCAGCTTAAGAGAAAACCCAGTGATGAAAGATCATTCTTGAAGTCCCAGATGACTTAAAGCCACAAGACTCATATCTGCAATCTCTTGAGCACAGTACTCTGTAAAAGATGCTCCTATATTACTTTCTGAAGTCCACTGCAGGCAGAAAGGAGGCACAAAGTTTTCTGTTGGAAATAACGCCTGACAAATTAAGATAGGAAGCTTCAAAGAAAGTGTTGCAGACTTGACAGCAGTCTACTCCATGATCTTCAGGAAGAGCCCAAGCAGCACCAAAGTAACATCAAGGAACTAACATATTAACCAAGTCAAAATACTACTAGTATTTAGTCAGCAGTATTAATAGCGCAACTACTAGTTATAACCTCTATACCAGATGCACATACGTATGACAGTCACTCACCTTTTTTACCTTTGATTTTTCTTCTCTTATTCTTTCTTTCTAGACTAGGGATCTCAGGAGAGGATCCCTCCTGCAAGTAAAATAATTTATTAACAAAAGTTACAGGAGCAATTTTGCCTAAATCAGAAAGTTAAACATCCACTGTCTTTTCAACTACTACTTGTACCCATAGAGAAGAATTCACAAAATTAATTGTATATTCTCATACAAGGGAGGGCAACAAAGTGAGTGCCACATTTTCATCTCAACGAGGAAAAAATATTAACCAAGCTAACAGCCTTCTACTTGCTCAGATGTTAAGACCACACTTGGGTCAGATTTTCTGCTCTATGTTTTTAGTTGGAAGTCTAGAGGATTAAATCAGTGAGGAATTAAAATTATCCCTTTCTGCAGTTAACAAAACCATTCTGAGGATTTTGACCAGAAACATTTTCTTCCCCTCTGGGTAAGTCCAAGACAGGACAGTGAAACAAATTCAGAGTTAAGGCTATAATTTTAAGTATATAATTTTGTAGACATGTTTGTCCTTCCTTTCTTGACCATAAAACCAGAAACATTTAAGGAAAACAAATTTCTGCTACAGCCTATCTTCCATTTAAATTTTGGAACACCAAATCCTTCCTACAACAGCAACTTCTTCCACAGAACTATTTTAATAGCTCTCATTTACCAGCATAGCACGTCAATTACAAATCAAAATTAAAGAGCATTTACCATTCCTATTAATTAAAAAAGAATAAGCAAAAGTCCTGCACTAGGAAGGCAGAAATGAAAAAAAAATCTTTAAAAAATGCAGTCAAAAACGCAAATTAGTTTGAGGCTATCTGGTGTACAAGACAATCAAATAAATTCCTCCTTGCAGAGATCATTCCAAGGTTGAATGATCACTGACTGGGAAAAAAACATTTCTTATTGCACCAAAGCTGGACAAAGCTGCACACTTACTCCAGTTGCTCTTCTTTTCTTCCCAATTCCTTGGCTGTCATTCTGCTCAGTACCAGATGTGCAGCTGCTGTCTGTAGCTGCATCTATGTTATTAGACAATGTAAGAAGTAAAGCATTATTTGAAGCTGGATGGTTTTCTTCTGAGATTTCTAGCACATTTTGTTTTTCAAGAAGAGGTGTTCTCTTCTCTGGGCTCTCCTGCTCTTGTTTTGTGAGGCCTGCGACCTCAGAAGTGGCTGGTAGACTTTGACTCCTTCCACTAGTCTCAGTTTTTTCAGACATAACTGGTGACAAAGGCAGAGAAGATATCTCCTGTTTCAAGTCAGCCTCAGTGTCGGCACTTGCCTCATACCCAGATGTTATATGATGCGAGGGGCTGTCTGCAGTTATTTGCCCAGTTTCTTTTATTTTGGCTTGTTCACTGAAGAAGCTATAAGCAGAAGGAGTTCTGTCTGCAACAACACTACTTTCAGAAAAGCTACGTTTTCTGGCTGAGCCAGGCACTGCTAAGGAAATCTCTTCCCACTGGAATCCTTCTAGGGAAGACAGATCAGATTCTTCACCAGGTTCTAGACCCTCTTGCTCATTTTGAACAAGAGGCACCATTTCGATGCCAAACCTTTAACAAGACAGAAAGAAAAATAAATATACATGTAACAAGGCAGCTAAATCTAGAAAAAAGCCTCCCCCTTCCCCAAGAGCATATTACTGCATTTAAGAGATCTAGCAACTCAATTACATTGGTATTCTGTCCTTTGTGTCTCACCTGGCAATGGAATATGTTTCATGTGTCACAAAATTAGATCCAGCAGCTATGAACTGACAGCATGATTTCCAAGTCTGAAATCATGTTGTAATTATTCCAAACCAAGTTTGGAATAAGCAAATATGACATCTTCTCAAGACACTTCAAAAACTTCAGGTTTAAAGAAAATTTCAGAAGTGAAGTATTATAAAATAGCTTTCTTTAAGCACAAAACCAAGCTGCGCATCAGATGAAAAGATTAACAAATGAAGAGGAAGCATTTATTCTGCCTGCAGCAATGCAAGCATTTTTGTAATCTTGAATAAATGAAGAAATAAGAAACTGACACAGGAATGTTCACATCCCAATTGCATTATTATATTCTTCCACTTACTATAACTTGAAAAGCAAATATACTGCTGGAGTCCATATTCAGATATTAAGCAACAATTATGAACTGGATCAGAATCTTTCCTAAGCAGCAGACTACTATTACTTATCTATAGATAGACATCTACAGCAGGAAGCAATGACAAAAACTCTGTATTATCTGTATATGCAAAAGATGGTGGTATAGCACGCTTCATTCTCAAGTCTTAGTGTTAGGTTTCTGTAATTCATTTCAGATTTGGAAAGAAACAACCCTCCCCCTCAACATGCTCACAGAGAGGCATGGTTAGTTCCAAAAGCTACCAACCTTGGTAAGCCTTTGCCAAGTTCCTGCTTCTTCTTGGTTACCTGCTGGATGACCTGATCCCAGTTTACATTTCGCCGGGAAGCACTAAGAATCTGCCTGAGGGTGGGTTTAAGTCCTGACTCCTTTTCAGTCTCACTTCTTCGATGCCCGCTCACATTCCGAATGCGCCGTGCGTTATTGAGATTGGGCTCTGGAAGATGTGTTCCAACTTTGCTCTTCAAACTAATATGTCGTGTCAAGTCTCGTTGCAGAGATGCAGGGAGGCCAAGTTTGCTTAAATCAGGAAGCAGGCCCATTGACTGGCCTCCTCCTTTTTGCAGTTCATGATCTGATGGATTTTCAAAACCTTCCATTTCAAAGTGATCGTGTGACTTGACCTGCTCTTCATCCCCTTCTCGATCCTGCAAGGGGGTTTTCAAATCTACATGCTCATGGTTCTGACCGCTTGATGGAGAAACTGTGGAGTCCATCTGAAACACAGAATCTTTTAGATCAGCAGGAGCAATACTTGAAGCAGTCAGCTTTTCATCATCACCCTTTTCAGGGGTAGCAGGTTTACCTTCTGAAGTGTCACAGGGTAAACAAGAACTAACAGAAGAACACAACTTTTCAGCTCTTGATTCTAACTTTTCACCTCTTGTTAAATCATCATCGCTCACATCTTCTAATGAATCTAGTCTGAAGTTGTCCTTTGGTGGCGTTTTCCCAATTTCTCCCCTATTCTGGTCACTTGCATCCTTGCAAGAGCTTAAGGGAACATTTTGCAAGGAATGGGTGGACTGAATATTTTTGGGGCTTTGTTCTGTTTCACACAAGTTATTAACAGTCTCTCCAAGATGGCTACCAAGGACATCTTTGTTGTTTTGTAAGTTATCCGCACATGCACCATGCAGCTTCGACGAATAAGAGGAGAAACTGTTTGTTTCCAAGTTCAGTGCATTCAAATGATTCTGCTCTTCACCACTAGCTGAGGATAACAAAACCTTGAAATTTTTCAAGACACTGTTTTTGTCTTGCTTTGGAGAAGATAACATAGTATCTGTGATATTCAGAAGAGGAACCTTCAATGATGGCATCTTATTACTTGTGCCATCAGTTTTGTCAGGCTTTTCACCACTGGAACAGTCTTTCATTACTTTGCAAGCCTCAATGTGATCCAAGGTCACATTAGAAGGGGAAAATGCTTCCCAGTTTTTAGGTTTTGAAAGGCTAACACTGACTTCACAAGTTTTTCCTTTCATTGGTGAATCAGTAAGAGGCATAATTACAGACTCCAGTTTATCTGGAGTTTTAGATACATTATCTTCAGCCCATGGTTGCTGCTCTGCAGCTTTCTGGGATGGGTAAGGAGTCCAGCGATGCATTTTATCTCTGGAAGGACTGCCACTTTTTCCACTGGCTCTTGAAGTTTTGCTTTCTGGTTGCTTTAACGTACCAAAATCCAAAGCCCCCTCAAAAGGAAATTTATCACTAGTAAAATCAACTGAGTCCTTCCTATTTTTTCGATCTCTGTATGGCGGAACATCAGTGTCTTTCTCCTGCCATGCATATCTTTCCTTATTATATTTAACAGGTTCTACTGAATACGTATCTCCTGAGCCTCCAAAATTCCAGCCATTTGAACCACGAGAACCAGATTTCCAGTTTCCTCCGTAACACTTAGAATTCCAAATAGAAAAATTACCTGCTCCTTCCAAGTGCCAAGCAGAATTTCTCTCCCTAGCACTGTGATGCCAATTTGATGCTCCTCCTCCCCACCTGCTTGGATGCCAAGCACTTCCAGAATTCCCATACTTATGCCAATTTGAAGAGCTTCCCGAAACATTTTGATGCCTTCCAAAGCGTTCCTTTGAGCCACCTGAATGTCTGTTAAGGTTCCACTGAGAGTGTGAAAAATTGCCTTGTCTAGGACTAATATAATCATAATTTTCCCACTTCCTGTCCCTCTGTGGTGCATTATGATGATGCCATGATGGCTGATCATAAGCATCTCTTCCTTTGTAAGTAGTTCTTTCTTCTCGCCTTCTCTGTGATCTCCTATCATCACATTCTAATTCTTGGTTTGCACAGCTTGGCTCAGTTTGCCTACAAAACAATTGAGAAAAACCTAAATTCTGATGCCATTCACTGAAATCCAAGAGCACACAAACCACACATTTTATTTTTTATTTGCACTGGGAAGAAAATTTCTTTTAATAAAGAGAAAACAGAGATAACTTCTTTAGCTGCTTTGCTATTCAGGCTTCTGTAGTGCCTGACTTTCAAAACTGATGTTGTACCTTTACTTAAATATGATATTTCAAAACTGCTCTTACAGGAGAAACTGATTTGGTGCAGGGACAGTTCAACAGACTAATTCTTAAATACTTCTGTTTAACTCAGAAGATAGTATACCTTTTTATTTACCAGTTATTGGACTACTAAGAAACAAACAAAAAGAAAGCTTCTTTCTGTCATATAATCTTTGTAATTTGAGTAATCTTGATAAAACTCATTCATAGGGAGATAATTATTTTTCTTAAGACTATTTCATTGGTATTAGATGGAGTAACTTGAATGAACTGATACAGAATAGAATGAAGGTTAGGCTGAGAAAAGCAGTTATCCTACTTACCGGAAAAAACAACTGAGATCATGTCTCAGTTCATAAAGCTGAGGTTAAACACAAGATGTAAAATATCCACACAAGTTGCACCTCAGATACAAAAATATTTTGTCTTGTTTTAACTAAAAGACTTGAATAGCCTACAGCATGCAATGCTGAGTCTGTATGAGCCTCCCAGAAGCACTACCTACTGCCCTTTGGATAGTACTTATCTTGGCAACTTACCATGAACACGTGGTAAGTTATCACATGTACATTTAAAGCTAAATGCTACCTTAACACCAAGAGCTATTCCCAGGGTCAGCAGTCTAAATGTTCTAAGTATTTATTCAACCAATTAGGAGGTTTTTTAAAAAGTTTTTCCAAAAACTGATTACAGAAATGCTTCTTTCTGACACTATAGAAATATACTCATCCTAGATCCCTGGACAAGCATGACAGGAAAATTTCACACTATTACTCAAAACCAATTGAGTCACTTTTGAATAAACTGAATATTCATATTGTGCACCTCCTAAGCTTTTAAACCGCTCCAGTTTTGCTAAAAGATTCACAAATAATTGCTCTCTAATGGGAAATGGCCTCCTGCATAAGATAAAGTGAGTTGGAAGAGAAGGAATAAAAAAAAAACAGTGTCTAAGTGATACCATTAGTTCTAGGAGCTGACTCAACTAGATTATGATCTAATGGAAACAATTTTGCTGTTATTAGTAACTTAATCCATGTACTTTTGGTTTTTTCCCCTTTCAAACTGGCATCCAGTAGAGACAGATTTTCTAAGATTTCAGCTGCCTCAGAATACCACTGTACTGGCAACATTACTCCTTTACCACAAAACCTGTGGTGACATTGCTACCAACATGAAAACATTACCAACCTGCAGTACAGGGACACCCTAATATGACAGAATGGTGTCAAAACCAAATAAACTCCACAGATTTTGCAGTTGGGAGATGCCAATTGAAACTTTTAGCCACAGCAAGCAAGAGTTCCCTTCAAAAATTATATGCCCCTTCCATACCATCACCATGCCGTAAGACTATTCAAACAATATATTCTCAACTGCAACACACACTTGCGGAATCACATGGAAGATAAAAGGCAATACTTCTATTTCATAGTGAGCCACTAGAATTATGTTTAGCTTAGTTAAGATGAAACAGGTATGAAATTTCATTGAAAAACTATGGGATTTTAGTGCAACATCAGCAGAACAATCTAACTCGTAAAAACAAACAGATTAAAGTTTTATAACAAAGCATGGTCAGCAACAGTTCTCAATAAAGGCCAGGTTCCTAAAACCACCTCCCACCCCAACAATATTAGCACTACTGTCACATTTATTAAGCCTTTGAGTTAAATGGGTATCAAACACTAAAATAAAAACGTTACTGCTCTCCAAACACAGGATTCCACACTGGGGACTGGTTTTATCCATAATGGAGAATAGCTGTACTTCCTCACTAGTAGATCCACAGAACAAGAACATTCAGCAGAAACACATTTACATGCTGAATGTACAATATCCACCTGGGGCTCCTGGACTATTGTCATAACAAGTACACTAGCTAAAAGCAGTTTAGATCTCACAAGCACCTAAGTCTTAAGAACATATCCTGTGTTAATAGCAGTTCTATGACCCAAGAGGAAACTCACCGGTTCCGTTCCTTCCTTTGTTTGATTAGTTGAATGACTTCTTTGTCAAGATATTCTTCTTCTGCCTCTTCTTTCTCTTCCTGATTTCTGTCATGGTCATAAACATTATCTTTGTGCAGCTTGCTGGAGATGTGCTTGGCATATGCTGACAAACCCACCAGTGTCACTCTGCACACCCGGCATTCATGATTGCTGTCCCTAGGAAGAGAGGCAGAGGGTGGACTTTCAACACTGCCAACAGGCATGGCAGGTATCTCTGGTCTTACTTTGTTTCCTCTGAATGTGCTTGAATTCAAGGCAACTAGGTTTTGTTCTGTATATTTCAGTTACTTGACTTCTTTGGCTTTTTCTTTCAAGGTCTAGTTTTTCGATGGTCAGTTTTTTTACAAGATTTTTTTCCAACAATCAAGAGGTAAAGACTTGGTAATAAAGCTGCATTAACAGGGAAGAGGAATTCTTCTTGAATTGTTGTACTCAAAATCTTTTCAGAGGAAACATAGTGAGCGAGGAGGCAGAGTGGAAGGCTTACAGAGCTAGCAGGAGCTGCTCTGAAGCCTATCCATGGTGCCAGCTGCACTGGGGAAGCCTGGTGACAGCTTCTACATTTAATCCTTGCCTTGAGCCTTCCCCCAGTGAAATTTAGAAAAGGGAGGAGGCAGTACATGGATACAACCAATCCTGATACAACACAGCCTAAACTGGGACAGCTGAGACTGCTGCCTGGAATCCAAAGACTCCACAGCACAGCGAGTGATGAGAGGGTTTCTTCAGTTCACTGTACTTTATTTGGTTCAAGCGTGCATGAGGTCTGCTTTCCACTTTAGAGGACTTATCTTAAAAAATACTGAAATTATTTCAGCTGTAGGAAGTTGACAGCTGTGTCAGACAAATGGCTTTACTCATGTTTCAGTGAATATTGGATTATGGTTACAACTTTTTTATTATTATTATTTTAAAAAAGATATTCAGAGTTCTAAAAATACCTTATCTGTTCTCCAGACAAGTCCTTTCAATACTCCACTGTTAGGGAAATACGTGGCTCATAATAAAGCTAAACAAGGCAAATGTGTTCACCAGTTAAAAAAAGGAAAAAACAAAAGCATAATCCACTGCAAACAACTCAGCTGAATCAAGTTAGGACTCTCTGCCTGCCTCCAGAATATCTTCCTCAATTCTGCCATTTAAATCATAAAAGCAGTTATGCATATCCCCATGATGCTCTTGTGACCAAAGTCTGATAACAGTACCTTTAGAATAGCACCACACAGTTCATGACTGGGGTCAAAATAAAAAAGTAGGACCCATAAAGGCAAAAGACCAACATGAATCCTTGGGGGTTTTCAGAGAAAAGTTAAAAATTAAATGATAAAAGGATCAAGAGATGTACTTTCACTCAAGATATTAAGCCAATATCCTTATCGCAGTGGTTTATGAAGTGTCAGCAGCTAGGCCTTGGGTGATATGATTTAGCGTAAGGTGTCCCTGCCCACAGCAGGGGGGTTGGAACTAGATGATCTTAAGGTTCTTTCCAACCCTAACGATTGTATGATTCTATGTTTCATGTATCCTGGAAATCTGTGGGTTTCCTACTAACATAGTTAAGATTTAACCGATGCAGCCATTCAGACACAGCTAGAGAGGGTTCTATTTTAAACAGACTGGTTATTAAAAATTACTCGTTTTACATTTTATTATTTTGTATGTTGCAGCCTAATTAATTTCAGATTAAACATTTGGATAAATTTCATTTACAAAGTCAGCAGCTTACAAATTTAGTATGTACTTCCCAGACAGGGGTGTACTTCATTTTGCACACTTCACACTTACTAATAAATATCCAAAGCTCATACTACATATATATTGTACTTGGGCTATCTCATTAATCCCAATAAAGATAACCAAATACAGTAATAAATTTTACTAATGCCATCAGAAGAATCCTCTGCACGCTCATAGATGGCACATCTATGCACTGTCAATAGGACTTGTTTTAAACTTAGGTCACCACACAAGGCAAACCGCCAACAGAAATTTGTCTTCCTGCTGAAAAAGGTGCTCTTTTTACATAACATTCCACTTCAGTCATAAGGACTCTTCAACAAGAAACATCTCAGTGGTACTAATTAGGCTTTAGAGAACAATCCAAATCCAAGGCCCATATTTCAATTCTGTCATGAAATTTTCATCATCCTCATTTATAAACTAAATAAATAAATGTAAAGTTTTACTTGCTTTGGACAAAGGCAGTGAGTTAACAACTGGCCTAAGGATGAAGAACTCTATCACTGCTAATGTGCAAGTTTCTAATTACAAAGCTGTGGCTCTTGTGCCAACTGACAGTCTGGACAGAAAAGCCTCAAGTGGGTAGTGACTAGGCTTGTCTGTCCTGTTTTTAATCTATATGAACCTAAAAACTGACACTATTTGTTTTCCTGTGTGAAAAACTGCTGAAATTGTAGATCAACTGGTAGGAGTTCAGATAGTTATACTTAAAGGAATTTGCACTTCCTTCAGTTCTTTCCTTCCCCTACCTCCATTAATAGCAACCAGAACTGGGCACACTCCATGATATACACTGATCATGTCTTCGTTATTTCCCTACCATACAGGAACACCACACAACCTTATCTGTTCAACAATAAGGCTAAAAGCAGTTGGAAATAAACATGACAGTAGTATTCTCAGTATAAAAACATCCAAAAGCTTTATTCACTGTAATTGATGGCAGACTCAATGTCCCTTGTACAAAAGGGTTACTTCGCTTTCAATTAAAAAACCCCTCCAAATCCTCAAAAATACCCAAATCACAACAAAAAACGCTAAAGCTTTGTACTTGACATCCAATTCTCCTTATAAATCACATGGTGTAAGACTGCAAAAACAGAAGATCCTTAAAATGTTTCAGAAAACTACTCTAGCTCTTACTAACTTAACTTTAAAAGGAGAAAAGTGTGAACTGATATGTGCATTTCCTTTACCTCTTCCTCACAGGAAGTCTAAAAAGTGACTTCTAGTTGGGTATTAAATTTGAAGGTGGTAAGATGGCATTATCCTCTGTTACACAATTCAACCACACTCAGGCAGCTGTTGCTAGTTGGAATTGCTTTTGCTTTACAAGACTGTAAGACTAAAATTAAATGGGACGAAAGAGAAGAGGCACAGAAGCCTGCTGCTGCACAGTGAAAAATGAAAATCATTATTCATTTTGGGAACAAACATCTTCCATGCATTCTTCTGAAAGAATTAGTGAAGACAGTTACCTTACTAATAGAAAAGGTAATGATGCTGAAACAAATTTCAGTCTTACAGAAATGGAAAACCAGGCATTGTCAGATCACTTGCAAGTAAGCCACTGCGGACACAGTATATAACTTCTAGAAATCACTATTACCTTCAGGAGTCACAAACTAAAAAAATAATAAAATATAGTAAAATAGGAACTTAGAAGGCCAGAAAAAAGATGCTGAAATACGTGAAATTTTAAGCTGATCTCAGAGTCATTATCAGAAATTCCAGAACAGAAATGTTCTACAAGTTAGCTGACCAGAAGCCCTAAGTCAGTTTCTAGTGCTGAGGACATTTTGGTTTCTGAGCCACTCCTTCCCAGCTGCTCAGCAACAGAACAAATCCTTTTCACACTCAACAAGAACGATATTGAATACCCCCATGCACTCAATCCCAGGGCAATTTCAGAGTGTTCCTAGCTCCCAATACCCAGCTGTGTGGAGCACAGCAGAGACAAAACCAAAATTATTCAGGATTTTTTGGTTTTGTTTTCAACTAATTGAATTCAGAACAAAAAAACCCCAACCAATCAAGAATGTAGGGATGGCAATAGCAGGGAGGGGAAAAAAAAAAAAGGGGGGGGGGGGAACGTGAGGAATTTATTATAATTTTTATGCCCTCCATCTTCACTACAAAGCAATTTTTACCTGGAAAACAAACAAACAAATAAAAAGAAATGGCTTCCAAAAAGCTGCTTTCATAAATTCTCTCAATGTGACACAACAACTTTGTTAATCCAAACAACTTGAAGATTTTGTGAATCCCACTAAACCAAATCTAATTTCAAGGGGGAAAGAGTATTTAATTTTCTTTCTATTTAACTTTCTTTCTATTTCAGCACTTTGAGAGTCCACATAACTGCTGCCTAAAGACAAGCTGATGATGGAGATTCTGAAGATGCAAATTCTTTCCCAGCTTACTAACCTGCTGTGAAGCCACAGACAAATAATAAATAGAAGTTGAAACTGGACAACAGAGGATATTTACTGACAGTTAACATGCATATCAAGGTAAGCAGTATCTTTTTATTTATTGCCCTGCAGTAAGTTACTTTTTTGTTTTAGAGAATTTGGAATATTAGCAGATATAAGCAGGCATACACATATGCCACAGATTTTCTGCAAGTCTTAACCTAAAGACATTTTAAGGTGCTGATTCAGACAAACTACAGCAACACTTAGCAACTACACAAAATAGCAGTATACAGTATTATACAGCTGGCTCAAACAAATGTCTTAATCTGTGCCATGGTTGTAACAGGATCTTCTACTCCAAACGCAGGCACTTTTGTGCAGCTATACATATGCTCTGCATATACACAGTTACTGAAGAGAAATAAGTTTCTAACTTCCTCTACTTTTGAAAAATTACAGATCAAAACAGTTCAAAAATTTTACTAGAATTCAACCTGGCACAACTGATCTATATTGGCATTAGTACTTATCATAGTATAGATCAGAGTCTTAATTTCACTCAGACTTTTTTTGATACTTAGGCTCTTTAAAACAGGGGCCTGGAGTCCTAACAGCTACTCTCACCTTACACAAAACAGAATAAAAGCTACATGAACAAAAAGCTAGCATGTGAACAGAAGTAGTCTACAATTTTTCCTTCTTGGATGTAAGATAGATGTCCTAACAAAAATAGATCTCCCACACTCCTAACAGTTGAAAGAGCATCACTTCTGAGTCTTTTAAAAGCTGTTTAAAAGAGAATTATTATTTGTACATAAAGTTTGTGCTGCAAGATGGTTAACAATTAGTTTGTAGGTCAAATACTGCAGTGCAGACTATCTGATCTCTCTAGTTACCTCAAAACCCATGCACCTGAAAGCACTTTTAAGTGCACTCTGGTTACACCCTGATTCCAAACTATCGGGATGATATTCGAACACCCCTCAAGTCTCTCCCTCCTGCTTTCCAAAGGTTGCAAATAAAATGAAGGAAAACAGAAGGAAAACAACATCCACTGTGGTAAGGTCCCTTAACTAAACAACTAGACTAAGATAACAGAGGACAAGGCAGTCACTCAAGCAGATGTAGACTTTACACCCAAGATACCAGCCTTCTCAAAGTCATTTAAAAGATCAACAATTGTTTCTACATCATTAAAAACTTAAAAAATAAAAATAAAAATAAAACCACCAGTGTTCATGATTCTGCCAAAGGCAGAGCTCTAGAGCTTCCAAGAAATAAGGCATGAAACTGGCGGGTTTAAAAACGCATTCTTTAATCTTATGTCACTACAGTCCAAGAAATACGGGAGAACCTTCTTCCACACCACTGCTTACCCTGAGACAAGGAGGCACAAAAGCATAAAATGTACTCAGTTCTAAGTAACATTAAGTTTGATGGCTTTGTAATGAAAAATAACCGAGATGCTTGAAGGTAGTTGATGTAGTTCTAGGTTCTTAACGACCTCAGTACAAACAGTGTAAGAAATATAGAATAAAAACCCAGGACCTGGGGATGGGGAGTATCTGGAACTAGAAGTCCAGGATGGGAGTAGTTAAACTAAGTGATGAGTCGAAGGACAGGATTATTGCTATGTCCGTAATGTTAATTAAGCTGGTGCTTCAAAGGCTGCCAGAAGTTATGAAGATTGTTGGGAGAAGTAAGCGACTCTCAAAGACCACCACCACATCTTCGTATGCATGCAGGAAACTTTCTGGAAAATGATGTAATTCATGTGTAGCCTCATAAATATGTGTGTATGCCCAGTGACTATATCAGGATGGCCAGTGTAGCAATACAGTGATAACCCTTAGGAGGAGCTATCCCCCGTGCCTCCTGGCACTGCAATAAAGAATACCTGTCAACTTGAAACTTTGTTGGCAAGTTTGTTCTTGGAGTTTTCTCTGAATCAACCCCGAGTTTTTGACTTTAAGAGAACATGCTCATTGGCAGCTTTATCACAAGGCATGCAACCAAGTGATACATAAAAATAAACTGTGCAATTCAGCTTGTATGGGAAACAGGACATGAGTTCTTCCAGAGTTATGGATACAATGTATTGAGAGGAAGGATTCAAGATTGTTCTCATACCTTCCCTTCAGGTTTTCAAGTTCTCTGTGGTGGAGCATGCTTCTTACGTGCTCTTCCATCTCCTTCAACATAGGGAAAAAAAGTAAAATCAGTCAAAACAAAGCAGAGTATCATATTTGAAAAGCCCACTTTTGAGAACCCCTTGACTCGCAGGAAGGTGTACTCTACTCCCATAGGGCTCTAGCAATTGCCATTATGACTGTGAATGCATGAGTAGTCACACTCTCAGGAAGTTTTATAATGTTACCTCTCCTGAGGAAGGACACAGTGGAGTCATAAGAATTCAGCAGAAGGGGAGCAGAACTCCAGGAGAAAGACAAACAAGAGTGCATGAAGCAAAGCTCATAAGACTGATTTTTGACAAGTTACTGTTGTTCATTTTTTCTGAAGTCTGTCCTGGGTTCAGCAGTAGCAGTCATTTTTCTCCTTCTCAGTAGCTGGTGCAGTGCTGTGTTTTAGACTTTCGGCCTGGGAACTGCGCTGATAACACCGACGTTTTTAGTTGTTGCTAAGTAATGTTTAGTCTGACCAAGGACTTTGTGAGCCTCATGCTCTGCCAGGGAGGAGGGGAAGCCGGGACGAAGCAGACAGGACACCTGACCCAAATTAGCCAAAGAGGTATTCCATACCACAGCACGTCATGCCCAGGGTGTAGAACTGGGGGCAGTTACTGGGAAGGGCTACATCACTGCTCTGTCGGGCTGGGTATCGGTCAGCAGGTGGTGAGCATTTGTGTTTTCTTCCCTTGTTATTTCCCTTATTATTATTGGTGGTAGCAGTAGCGGTTTTGTGCTATACCTTAGTTACTGGACTGTTCTTATCTCAGCCCATGGGAGTTATATTCTTTCAATTCTCCTCCCCATCCCTCCGGGATGGGGGAAAGAAGGGGGAGAGTGAGAGAGAGGCTGCATGGCTGGGCTTAAACCACAAGTCTCATCAATATCATCCTCCAGAATCACAGTCCTTAAACCGCTGTTTTCCCATGCGATTCAAGCAGTCTCTCTGTATTTATATTATGACACAGCTGAAATTTCATCATCACATACAATTTTACTGCTAGATGTACTTCAGAAACTGAGATGTATCTAACATGTCAATTTGTTGTCTACAGCAACCTTGATCCATGAGCTCCAGTGCTGTTATAACTTACTGCTATTGAAAGAGAGCTGCTGAAGAGAAAGAACGGTCATAATTCAGCAAAAGGAAGCAGCTCAGAAGATTTAACTTTCTCTTGGCATTTGAGCCAAAGCGTTTGGAAAGCTTCAGAACACATACTAATTACTGTTCTCTCTAGTCCTTGAAATCCTACCCACAAAGGGTAAGCAACATCTTCAACCTTGAAAAGTTGTGTTAATTAATACACTGGAACTTGCAATATATCCATGTACTGAGCAATATATGAAGGTGCACTTCTAAGCAATATATGAAGGTGCACTAAGAAACACTCAGTTTCCAAGCAGACTTTACACGATATGTAGCACACAGCAGATACACATCTTCCATATGCAAACACACATATCCCTAAAGGAACAAAAAATTTGTGTATTACAGTATTCTCATCACAATTTACAGCTAAATAACCTTGAGTGCTTTTCACTTTAGTAGCTTTACACAACAACATAAGCAACTCGGAGACCTCAATATTTTTAGCGTTCAGAAGCAAGCATACTGCACAGCTCATTTCAAGAAAGAAACTCTAGAGGCACATGCAAATATACAATTTGTGATAGATCTTGATCAATATATTCCTGGTAAAGGGGAAAACTCTCACACCTAGCACAATTTTAAAATTGAAGCATTTCTTACACACAGTTCATATTCATATCCTAAGATTAGTAACTACTGGAGGAGGTAAGGCATTAATTCCTTACCTTTCTTGAGTTGTACACAACGTGACATAATATGCATTTTTGTTCTCGAACCATGCTTAGTACGCTGGAAAGATCTTATCCCATACCTGCAATTAAAAATAAAGAACCAACATTCAGGATTTTTTTCCCCATTATTCTGTTTTAGTAAGTTAAGGTAAACTACTATTCATGAAAACACTTGTGCTGAATTTCCTTTAGAGAATTCATACCTCTTGTACATAATTTCACTTCAACCACCCTACAAGGTCCTATACCTGGGTGGTAGCAATCCCAGGCACAGCTACAGGTGGGCAGAGATGAGATTCAAAGCAGCCCTGCAGAGAAGGACTTGGGTGTGCTGGTTGATGGGAAAACGATCATGAGCTAGCAGTGTGCGCTCGCAGCCCAGAAAGCCAACTGTATCCTGGGCTCCATCAAAAGCAGCGTGACCAGCAGGTCAAAGGAGGGGATCCTGCCCCTCTACTCTGCTCTCGTGAGACCTCACCTGGACTACTGTGTGCAGTTCTGGTGTCCTCAACATAAAAAGGCCATGGAACTGTTGGAACAAGTCCAGAGAAGGGCCATGAGGATGATCAAGGGACTGGAGCACCTCCCGTATGAAGACAGGCTGAGAAAGTTGGGGCTGTTCAGCCTGGAGAAGAGAAGGCTGCATGAAGACCTCATAGCAGCCTTCCAGTATCTGAAGAGGGCCTATAGGGATGCTGGGGAGGGACTCTTCGTTAGGGACGGTAGTGATAGGACAAGGGGTAATGGGTTAAAACCTAAACAGGGAAGTTTAGATTGGATATAAGGAAGAAATTCTTTCCTGTTAGGGTGGTGAGACACTGGAATAGGCTGCCCAGGGAGGTTGTGAATGCTCCATTCATGGCAGTGCTCAAGACCAGGTCGGACGAAGCCTTGGGTGGCATGGTTTAGTGCGAGGTGTCCCTGCCCATGGCAGAAGGGTTGGAACTAGATGATTTTGAGGTCCTTTCCAACCCTAACTACTCTATGATTCTATGATTTCAGAACTGTTTCAGACTGGATGTTGTGTGCATACAACCACTGTCATACCAAAAATCTGCTTTCAATTCCTTTTAGGAAAGATATGTTTTGAACTAGATGAACTAAAAAAACCTTAAAGGTGGGGTAAAGGGGAGAACAGAAACAAAACCTTTGATACAGCAAGATCCAGACCCCTATTAGAGCAACTGACACAGCTGGTTTAGGCTTCATTAGGCACCTTTCAAGTGAACACAGTCACTGCCATTACTGTTCCCCAGGGAAGCTGTGAATGCTCCATCCCTGGTGGTGTTCAAGGCCAGGTTGGACAGAGCCCTGGGTGACATGGTTTAGTGGGAGGTGTCCCTGCCCATGGCAGGGGGGTCAGAACCAGATGATCTTAAGGTCCTTTCCAACCGTAACTAGTGTGTGATTCTAATCAATATTCTGTAAAGAAAAATAAGGTAGCTTTGAACAGTTACCTAAACCAGTTATAATAAAAAGTAGCCTTCCCATTCTTTCATTTTGCTCCTTGTCCTCCAACACATGGCACTCATTCTAAAAGCAAATAGAGGTCTGTAGGCATCCTCTCATCTACTCAGATTAGCAAAACACTTTTCAACTCTGATTGAGAGGTAAGGAACTGGGGAAACCAAGAAGGGCAAATTCAGATCTTTACTTTGGTACACAGGACAGCTCAAGATATTTAAGGCCCCAGCAAAATTAAACTAAGGGCATTCATGACATCAAAGACCAGCAGTCTTCACCATTTATGAGGCAATTTGTTCACCATAAAATAAAACCTGAAGTGACTTAAATTCAGTATTTCCCTCATTAACCTCCCTAAGAACTACACATACACAATATTCAATTTAGACAGCATTTTAAGACACATTCTTTAACACCATGCTGTACATGGGCACCTTATGTATTAGAGTAATTCATAAAAACTATTGTTTTTCATTAATTACTCCCAACAGTATGAGATTATTTAAAACTTTGCACCAGAATAGTAAACATTTCAATACTTATCACCTTAAGACTTGCATATATGCAAATGAAAGCAGCAGCAGATCAAATTAAACGGTATACACATTTTATCATAATGTTTAATTCATAAGGATGGCAATTAAATTAAAGAGGTACATAATAGTCTAGGTTATAATACAAAGACAGTACAAAGTCTGTGTAAGAAACAGGGTATAATTTTTGCCTTTTCCCTCTCTTACAAGACACTAAAATGCATAATGATCAAGAATTATGGTAATTTTTTAACTGACTTGGCAGAGGCAGTTTCTCACCCTAAAGTGGAAATAAATGTATCTTTTTACTACTAGGCATTTTCACATCTCCACATAAAAAGATAAATCCTTCCAAGCTTTGTTACCTTACATTAATCAACTTCAGAGATAACTTAGCTACTACCTTCAACCTTAACCTTCTTTAATGGCTCACCTCCTCATCTTACCCTACAAAGTTAATTCTAACTATTTACCATGAACCTTCTATATCAGGGATGTAAAACCCTCTGAATCAGATACTGAATAGAAGCTGCAAGCACAGGGCAAGAACTGAATTTTTACAGAATCCAGATTACCCAGAGTTAAAGCAGCTCTGGCATTCTGTGGTCCTCTTCAACCATAAACAAACAAAAATCAGCCAGTAAAACTACATCCATTCTGATTCCAAAATGTGGTTCTTTGGCAAGTAACTCTTTTCCTCCAGATATGCATGTCCATTTACAGTTAACATGTGCACCAGCATCTGTGCCGTTTAAAGGGCAAGAGTTGCAGTAGTCCTTTCACCTTTAGACAACAGATAAAGCAGTCTTCTCCCTGCAAACATCCACATCACCATACAAAACAAAACACACTTAAAACACACAAGGAGATTCAACCATCATAACCAGCATTCCTAGGTTGTCATTCTTGATCTCACTAAAATATCTGATAGTGTTTAAACGTCCATTCTCTAGATTCATCTCATGGGCACCTGATGTACCTGAAACGTTAGTAACAGTCTGGGTTTTTTTTTGACAAATCACCCCCAACAAAGGTACAATATAATTCAGTACTTTGCACCACCCTAAGTCATATAGAGCACACATAAATTCAGATGATATCAGTGATGTGCATGCAGAAGCTCCTCCCTTCACAGAAGATCAGAACACAGAAATGCAGTTTTGGAACAAAAAATGTTACACCCCACACAAAAAGTCTTACTTGTTTTGAAACATTTTAACTGAGACAGTAGTTAAGGAAAGTTTAAGCTAATGTGAGCAGAGACAGAAAATGAGATATTTTAGCCTCATGATTATCCAGTAGGTTATTAGGTGAGTATAGAAGGACATCATCAATACACTGTTTATCCACAGATCTATACAGCTACAACAGATCTAAGAGAAGTATTATCACACACAAATGACAAAGGTTTCAACACCTACCTAATACAGAAGAGATGTTTTAATATGTAGTTACCCCTGAAAAGAAAGGGTGCTAATCTTTGCATCAATTTCAGATACTTCCTTTTTGGATTAAAATAGTCTGTACTCCCCCCAACATTCTTCACTAGCTCTAATTTCTAGTTTAGTGGAGTAATACCCTACACATGTGTTAAGGATCTCATCAAGATTACTCAAGTATCTACAGAATTTATTCTGCACAAGGGCAAACCAGCAGCATGGGACTTATCAGGAAAAGCAGGGCAGTGGAGTGTGGTGACTTGCTGACACAAGTGAGCATGTAAGCAGAACTAACATTACACCTGTTTTAGCTAATTAAAACATATTGTAATGATAGAGGATTACAGGAAGAGTTTTAAGATAACTGCCCAACCAACTGTTCATTACTTATGACAGAGCACTAAAAATACTAATGGAATTCAAATGCTATTGGATGTCACTATGAAAAGCAAAGCTTTAGCCTCCAGAGAGAAGCCCTTAGAGGCAAGAACCCAGAAGTAAAGAGATTCAGTAGATGCTACAGAGACTGGGAGAAGACACACCCATGTTCTATTTCCAGATGCCTCTTGACTTACTGTCTACATAGAGATAAACCACTTCCTGCGACACTTAGCTTTCTCCCAAATCCTGCTAGAAAACCCGTGGCTCACTTTAATGAGCTGCTTCAATTTCACTGCAAAAGAACTTTCATTAAGTACTTTGAAAAGCATTATAAATTCAACGTATTCCCTCACTCACTATGCAACAGTGACAAGAACCAGACAGCTTTTGAACCATATAGTCAGTGATTACATTTCATCTCATCGTACATTAGTCTCTTCTATCACAAAACTGTAATACTCACAACTTAAAAACGAACTTTCCCTACAAAAATGCAGGCATATTTCAATGCTTAACAACAAAACCCCCAAGCCTGAAACACCGAGCAACGTTCAAGCTTTTATTAGATTTAATATTTTGTACTTTTGAAATTACCAACTTGCTGCACAGAACAGGAAATTACTTTTTTATGGAACATTAACAGGAAAATGAACTACTCAAAAATAAGTAAACAGCGAACAAACATGAGGTTTTGCCAAAAAGATACCATCACCATATAAAAGAGAAACTGCAAAATGTAAAGCTTTCAAATGAGATGTCACAACTTTCTATTTTACAGGAATGTAACTGAACAGTGAGTGATATTTATTTGTTTGTTTCAAAGAGATGCATTCCACAGCTATGTGATGGAAATGCAACTTGCCCAGAGCCTGCACCTGCTCAGAGCTTGGAAACAGCACACACACAGATTTAATTAACTTAAGCAAGTCTGCTAGAGAGTTGTTGGAGCACACTTCTCACAAGTAAAAATAGTCTACAAAGAAAATCAGGCATTAGACTACTTCCTGCTACAACATTCATTTGTCCACAGTAATTCAACCTTACCGGGTAACATACATTAAAAATGTACTTCAAGATTAAATCTGCTACAGATCAGTGGCTGAACACTCTGACTATATAAAGCCACAAGTGCCATGCAGTGAGGCAGGCAGCCCAGCATTCCAGCTGCCTAGAAATCCTCAGGAGGCCTCAAAGAGATCAGCAGTACTGGCCTGTCTAAAGGCCTGCCTAAGTGCTGCATGTCCCTACCGACAGCACTGGAAACTCTACACTTGACAAGAATGGAAGTCTAGAAGCTCAACTGTGACAGAACGCTCTGCAGCGACATGCTCCTCAGCTCCTCACAGCAATCTCATTCCTTTTGTTTCAGATCCTTCTCTCCTGCAGCAACAGATTGCATACGTCCTAGTTGGAGCTGTAGAACAGTAATACAACTACCACACACATGGGAAAGGAGAGGAAAGCAGAGCGGAAAGAAGCAATTCACCACAATGTGCATTCAGGAAATCTTTAGTCAGTTGATGGGAAGAAGTGGCAGATGCAAAGTCATTTTGACTTTGAGACAAGCCTCTTGCTGAAAAAAATTAGGAATGGAAATGCATTTAGGCCCTGGAAAGCACTTAAACAACCACTGCTAGGATAGACCATATATAGTTTGATTATCAGCACAATTTACTTTGCCAAGAATTTTACAGGAAAACTGGGAGAACCCCACATAGGCCTTTGATAGCTGTATTCAACCAGCAATTACGATATACAAGCAGTCCAAAGCAATAATGATTGCTAATTTAACTAAGTAATGCTTCACTACAGCCTAGTAAGAGATTTTCTTAAGGATAAAAAATATAACTAGAAAACTACTTCCCTGTATTACACACTGCTCCAAACATCAAAGCCCTGCACTGCTGCGAGAATGCTGTACAAAACCAAGTAATTCATCATAACAGAGGCCTATGCTCAAATTTCATCACCTCGAGCAGGATTTATGCGGAATAAAGCACCAAGGTTCCAAGGCTAACTTTCCTTTCCCCTGAGGCATCTGAATTCACTATCTCAAGATCTACCTGAAGTGATTCTCCCCTTCCTCAACAGTAACTTTTACCAATTACGTTAACATTCCTTCTGGGCATATGTGGGAGGCATTTTAACCTTCCTTCTGGAAATGCTAATCTGTGCAATTTATCCAACCAACAGAGAGAAACTTAAGGATTTACTAAAGTTAAGTCAGGACTCACAGCATTATTCTCCTCTATCACACTATCATGCACTGTACAGAATTAAACTACTTGTACCAGAAGCAGTTTTTAAGGTAAATGCCTCCCTGGTTTCCAAGACTTAAATTTCATCCTCATGACAGACTGAGGGTATTCTAGACTCTCCCAGCACTGAAGCAGCACCACTGCACAGCAAATGTTAGAACTGAGCATCCAAGTGCTCAACTGTTTTGACATTGAGCTACAAGGAGCGAAGAGTTATTTCACAGATCCAAGTTCTTTAAGTTCCTGTTAAAAGCAGTAGTCAACTCAACTATCTAGCCTAGAACACACCGATCAGAAACTGCAAGCTATCCCAGGAGTGTGACTGCCTTTATGCAATATACTGGGAAGGCAACTGAAGATCAGGAGAGTGTAGAGAAATACCTTCGAAAGACCAGCACAGGCAGGGCAACACCTAGCACAGAGTTTTCACTGATGTCTATTTTTATTTCAAGTAAATCTAAGAATGGGGCACAGACCAGCCCACCCCCTCAGAACCCCCCTCTGGAACTGGGCAAGTGCTCACTAAACTATGTCCATCATTATCGTAGCAATGCCTCTCTGTTCTTCATATGCAAATTAGGGATAACAGCCCAAAGAACTGAACACAAAAGCGCAGGGCTCAGATCAGGGTGAGTTCCCAACACGAACAATATCCTGAGTGAAGAGGACCAATAAGATGTTGTTGGATCCACCGGTGCTGATACTTCTCTCCCTTGGGCTCCTTCTATTTATACAGTCACTATGGAGTATGAAAAACAGCTGTAGAGTGACATGAGATGCTCAGACCAAGGTAGTCAGGTCACTCTTCAGTATATGGAGCTCTGGTGTCAAGTAAATTCAAGTTAAGGATCCAAACATTAGGACACCAGTCATTAATGGCCATGCAGATGAAATACAGGAGTCTGTCTGAATTCTTATATCTCTGTAATGCAGTTTGCCCCAGGACTGAATATCAGCAGCTCTATCAACTCAGGATGTACAATCAAAATGCAAGATAGCCTAGGGCTAGATGAGGAAAAAAAAATCTTGCACTACAAATATGAATAATATTTTCATAAAAACAAATTAGTTTTTTTGTAATGCATAGTACCTGCTTATTTTCCTGTCACTGGTTTGAGTCAGGTAACATCTCAAATCTTAGGACACCACCTGGTGGCAGAGTTTACAGAAGATGAGTACCAGTGTTAAAAATGTTATCAATATAAATCTGATTTCAATCAAATTTAATTTTTATTCCAGATATCGTATGAATTTTTTCTCTACAATAAAGGGGGGGGTGGGAATCAATGGAAAAATACCTTAATTTCACCTAGATCAAGTCATCTACACGTCTTTGTATCTCTGTACGCAATTTGGACATGTATTCATAGAATAGTGATTGCTGTTATTCTTTGTACTGGATATCACAGCCCTGCATAAATTAAGATGCATTTAGCTGACACTTCTTCAAACATTTCTGGACATTTCAGCTAGAAGTTACACTAAGTTCGGTCATAGAAACCACACTGGCTCAGATAACAGACCTACATAGTTTGCCTAAAACCAATGACTTGTTTCACACTGAAAACACCAGAACATAGCACCTACTATTATGATGCAAATACAGTTGGCTTGTACTGCCACTCCAGTTGCAGCCAAGCAAGAACAGAAACAAAAGACAATACAGTTGCCTTCACCTGAACAGACCTCAGAATAGGAAGCTATTTTCCAAGGTAACCAGTTATGAAGCCATTCTGCATTGGCTCTTAGAACCTGCAATATTCATCATAAATATTGCAGTGCTAACAGGGAGATAATTTCAATCTTCAGGAAGACTTATTAAATTTTTGGGAGGCTTAAGTGTTTTTCAGGTTAGTTTTTTTGGGGGGGTTGATGGGGTTTTTTTTGTTTGTTGGTCGTTTTTTGGGTTTTTTGTTCGTTTTGAGGGGAGGGGGTTTGTAGGATCTATTAGTTCAGGCTGTTAGTTTAATATAGTAATTGAGGCTTGACTGAAAAAAAGTAACAAATAACAAATGAACAGAAAAAATCAGCAGAAATATAGGAAAAGCAGTCCCAGGAACTGATGCTGAAAACAAAGTCCAAGAAGCCTCAATCCTTTTCTCGCTCAGGTCACACCTCAGAACTCACCTGATCTACAAAGCTCTTTAAAGCTGCACTTCAGAAAGCCCAACAGGGAACATGAGAAGGAAATCTGTTACTTGCAGAAGGCCGTTGTTATCAAAACGCTATCAATAAAGGACAACAAAGTATAAACTTCAGTCACCAATGACACTATTATACAATGCTCATAAACTTTTCCAAGTTGAATCTCATAAGCACCCCTGAACAGTTCTTAATATAATTTAAGCCTACATGCAAACTACTCCACTTTTAAATACCTTTTACTTCATTGTACCCTTAGTATTTCACACTATCAGCCCCACTTTTTTAAATTAGCAGATATTTATCACCACATTCATATATGCTTCCACTAAGACACACCTTTAGCAATGCATTACAAGAAGGGTAAGTGAGCAACTCTGCCCCCAGAGCCACGTTTCAACCCAGGAAACGCTTCTGGCTGGTATGAAGAGACCTGATGATAGCTACACATCTGTAACAGAGAACCTGCTCTAGCAAAGCTTGTATTAAAACAGGGCAACAACGTTCAGGATTTACTGCAGCAACAAAGGATGCTCACAACACAAAGCAAAACGCATGCCCGCCCCAAGGCAAGATGTCCGGTGCAGCCCACCTAGGCCAGGCCTGCCCCGCTCACCTCCACCAGATGCGGTGCAACCCCCCATCATCCCAGCTGTCCCCCAGGGAGCTCCCCGCAGCCTCTGCTCCCCGCGGCCTCGGTACTCACACATCACACCCTTCACCAAGGCAGCGGCCCGAAAGTCCATCCCCGTGCCAGGCCCGAGCAGACCCAGCCACCGCACGTCCCCAAACCCACCACCCTCACCAAACCCACTCCGCGCCGGGGCGGGCCGGGTCGACCCCACAGAGACCCGCGGCGCACGGCGGGGCGGAGCCACTGCCCAACACAGCCAATGAGCCGCCAGGAAAGTGGCCGCGCTGCACGCCGGAAGGCACACTTGGTCCTCCGCGGTGCATGCCGGGAAATGTAGTCCCGCCGGCATGGCGGCTGAGCAGTGACGGGCGCGCGGCGTTGTGGAAGCAGTGGGACTTGCGGTGAAGTCGGCAGGATGGCAAATGGTACCACTGGTTACTTACAAAAACATGGAATAAGCCAGAGTCTCACATGTCCAGAAGAATGGACTTGTGATAATTGGCATAATTGGGAAGCTGTAAAATAGCAACTAATTGTGAACAGATGCCGTAAGATGAAAAAGGAATTATTTGCAAAATATTAGGCTTCTGTGTAGAAACTCCTTATCAGCATAGATCAGATGACAGCAAAAAGATACAGGACCTAACAGAAGAAACTGGAAAAGGAAAGAAAACAGAACATACACTATCTTTGAAAATTGAAGAGTTACAAAATCAACTTCAGAAAGAGAGAAAGGGCAAAATTAGGAGAAAAGGTTGAAATGATGCTTATGCAACCTTTCAAGCCCCCTGATACTGTACAGAATAGAAATTGTACTCCTTGTAGACTAGGAGGGAAACATCTGGGGTGACTCCAGTGATAATGACATGAGAGTAAATGATTCCTCATCCCTTTTAAATTCACATCCTCCTATATATCAGGTCAGACCTCTAATAAAAACAGAAGAAACTACTGGGCCTTGGGGTGGAGCAGAAGACTCAAAAAAAGACCCCACATGAGCCCATTCAAATGGCTAATTTACAAGTACACTACAGCCGTAAGCTGAGTGAAACGGAAACTGAATACTTGTGGCAAGTATGTTTAACTGGGGGAGACAGAATTTTACTTGCTGGCAATGACACCAATGGAATTTGGGGTCCTGGAGTCTTTTTAAATGCTGGTCCTGAACCCTCAAACAATCCCCACTTGAGAACTAGCAGAGTGGCATACTGGGTTAGCAGAATAGGTATTTTGGAAAGAGAAGAACCTCTACTAATACCTATTATATTCCCAAATGAGCTTCCCACAGCTGTTACAAAAGCTGCCTGTATTCAGGCCATGCAAGAGTATGAACCCACTGATGTTCCCATATGAACAACTATAGATTATGACCTGTTAAGGCCATTAATTAAGGGAGCTCCTGCTGCTCTCAAACCTTACCTTACCTTACTGCGGGATGAAATTATGAGAAATTCAAGACTAATGCTTTATTGGCCATAAGAGGTATGGCTGATTATGATCAAGACAAAGTTCTAATGCACAGAGATCTCCCAACCTGGGCAACATTAATGCATGACATTATAAAACATGGGTGAGAAACAGGATAGAGCGCATTCTCATGAAAACCATGCTAGGGCATGTGAAAAACAGCAAGGTGGTTTGTGACATTCAACATGGTTTCAACAAGGCCAAGTCCCACCTGACCAATTTGGTGGCCTTCTATGATGGGGCTACAGAACTGATGGACAGGGGCAAAGCAGTTGATGTCTACCTGGACTTGTGCAAAGTGTTTGATGTTGTCCCACACCACACTGGCTCCAAGAGCCACGTAAAGCTGCTGCAGGCCTCAATGGTGTGAGACCTCCGTGCGGCGCTCCGAGGGAGCAGCCCTGCGGTGGGGTCCTGAGGGCAGCTGAACAGGGAAGAAGTCACCCAGGCCCGAGAAGGAGCACACCTCGGAAGGGCTGCCCGCCTCAGCTCTGCAAAGCGAGATCTGTGATTCCAAACAGCCATGTTCTCACTCCGCCCTCATTCTCTCTGGTAACGGGCGAGGGGCTGACATACGTCCTCCTCATGTGCAGCACGGTGGCCGGAGAAACACCCCCATACACGTGGACCGCACCAGCCCCACGACGCCAGCGGCGCGGCGACAGCACCGACACCGCACACCCACAGCTCAGGGGCGGAGCTGGGCGCCATCTTGGGTGTACGCAGCCTGACGTCACCCACGTACGGGGGCGTCCCGCCATGCCGGGTGTGGCGTGTGCTGCCCCTCCTGTGGGCGGTGCCGGTTCCCGCTTCCGGGCGCGTGGAGCTGCGCTCTGGCGGTCGGCACCGGGGCCGGGCGGTCGGGAGGGACATGGGCGTGTAAAGGGTGGCGCGGTTCGCTACGGCTCCGTTTGAGAGCGGTGCGTGTGAGGGAGCTGCGGTCGGCGGTGGTGCCGGTAGGTGGCTGGCGGCTGGGGCTTGCCGGCTCTCTGCGCCTCGGGCGGGGCGGCTGCCGGTGGATCCGGTCTGTGGCCGCCTCTCTGCCGCGTAGCGCCCCGCGCGGGGCAGGCTCGGCTTGGCTGTGGTGGGGGCCTTCGCGGGTCGGGGCGGTCTTGGCCTCGCTGTCCCTGTGAGTGCCGCCCTGCCTCGGCTGCCGGGCCTGAGAGCTGGCGCGGGGTAACGGGGCGGCCGGGCCGCGGCGGGGTACGGGCGGCTCGGGAGGGACCTCCGAACCCGGGCTGAGCCGTGGGCTGCGCTCGCCCTGTCGAGTGGTGGAAGGCCTCGGCCGGCTCTCCCTGCGAGGAGCATAGGTGCTATGTTCGGGTGTTTGTTTCTTGCTTGTCGAGAGCCCTTGAACTGGTGTGCCCCACTGCTTTGGACTAACCAGCAAGATGCTGTTGTGGTACATAGTAAACAATAATCGTCAGAAGTAAACTGTGCGTTTCCTAATTGTACCTCTTGAAGCCCTTGGCAGTTCTGGGAAGCTAATGTAGAGTCAACTTTATTTTTCACTTTTTCCTTTATTTTTTTCTTTCTGTTTTATGCAATGAAGGTTGCCAAATTACCACACATGATTCAACAACCTAAGTAAACAAGCTGAAGAAACTTTGGAAATTTCTTTATGCAACTTCTCTAGCTATTTACCTTCCCCTTTTTCACCCTCTTAATAAGGGCACTGGGTCTCCAGTGGTCAGAAGTAAGCAGCTGGGTGTTGCTTTGCTTCTCCATAAACAGAGAAAACAGCTATGTAGGAAGGTATTTAGGGATAAAGGGAAAGCATCCTGTGATGTCAATTGCTTGATTCAGTGACTTGCACAATTAATTGCTTATTGACACTTTAGTAACTAATCTATACGTCTGACCTCCCCTGCTCTACATTTTTTGATGTAGCATATTACATAGCACGGTTTGTGTGATTAGAAGAAAAGGAATCAGTCCATGTCTGCATACGGATCTAGGGTTAATTGTTACTTGGTATTGGTGAGTGACTAATTTAAAGAAGGTATCACGAGGCTTTTCCAGCCAGACAAAAATGAATTGTTGAGACAAGTATGGGACTGCACAGAGGAGGTGGCATTCCTAGCGCCTATTCTTTGCGCTATCGCCTCTGTGCAGTGTGGTCAGGAAGCTGATAAGAGAAAGCAGGAAGCATGCAGAGTAGTGTCTTGTTCTGGGCTCTGGCCTTTTCCCCAGGGTCACAGATGCTTTATTCATTTATCTTGTATGCCTAATCGTGTGGAGGAGTACATCTTGGTGTTGACACCTTGTACCACCCTGTATTAGCTGGGGTGAATTTCAGCTGACTAACAAGTAGGATAGCTATTTGTGTTAAGGAAGGGTTTAATAAAAACAACTCCTTATGTGTTAGTGATATGAAGAATTGGCAAGATTAAAAGAAAAACCCTCACCATAAAATCATCCAGTTTGTAAACTATTTAAATTTTACTTTTTTGCAAGAATGCATGGAAATTTCTTTTTTTCTAGGAATATTATTTCATGAATTTTTCTGTATTTTGGGCAAGGCAACATCTTGCTTTATAAGAGAAGGAACTGAGAGAGCGTACATGTTCACCTGAAGCTGCACCAATTCATTGATGCCTAAAGTACAGCTCATAAGATAATGGCTTTCAGTCAAGTTTTGCAACAGCAGAGTTGTATCATCTAGTTCCTACCTTTCTGCTAAGATTACTCAAAAGGAGGTATAGGCTGCATTTCTCAATCATGCTTTTAGATGTATTAGAAGCTATTATTTAAAGTTTCTTCTCCAGTATGTATATGAAACATTCAAAGAAGGAACTAGTGAACTGGGAATAACAGGATTTTAAGGCTTAATGCTTTGGTATTCTTACCAGTAGATCTTGTTAAAAGAATAAAGTACAAGTATTACTTTCTGCTTTATCTGAAATGAAGTAGTCAAATATATTTAGAAATATAGGAGGATTGTTTCATATAATGACTTCATAAAAATGACTTCACAATACATGTGAAAGTTTTTCACTCCACCTTGCTACATTTAGTTCCTGGCTGCCATAAACTTCCATTAGATTTTGAAAAGGAAAACAACATGAAGATGTCAGCATGAGGTCTTGCTGGAACAGTTTGTGGGAGTTACGTGATTTTCACTCTCAACTTGGAAATAGCTCTTTTAAAAGACAAATTATTCTAGAAGGCAAATGTAATAAAATTTATGGTTTTGGTATCAAAGAGATAATCTTATCCCAACTTTTAGGTCTCACATATATTGCTTTTTGTGGCCAAAAATATTACACTTGTTTCTTCATCTCACTTCCTACTCACGAGAAAATTGTGAACCTCTTATTCTCCATTTATGGAACCAGGCACTAAGACACAGCCTGCTGTGTATTTTTGATGATACACAAATATATTTAACAGGAAAACAAAAAAGAGAAACATTTGTGCTTAACTTCTAGTTTAGGGTTATCAGTGAAGAGGAAGAAAAGTTAAGTGATACTGATTAGAGCCATGATAGAACTTGAGAGAGAAGGGCTTAGGTTCTAACAGAGGACCCCTAAATGGCAAGTAGGGAATTAATTTATGGTATTTAGCAAATGTGATGGACTTATGGCAAATTTCTGAAAGGCACTGAGTCTGTCAGAGGCATACAAGTGTTCTATGTCAGCCAGAGATGCAGGACAAAAATCTTACAGTCATTCAAGGTGGGGTTGTGAAAGTGCAAGCAGTAAGAACAATTGATTGGTCTGGTGTATGTTGACCTGTCTGGCTTAAGA